GTCCATTTTATACGCTTAACAGCGAGATTATGGATATTTTTTCCTAGAACTACACCGTACCGTATTGATTTACAAACTTTTATCGAAAATTCCGATACACCGTTGATTTACGGGTCCTTTTTGTTTGTTCCTTAACATGGGCACCGTAACAAAATTTCGATTCCAACAAACGCACGTGAAAGCACTTAAACCTATGGGTTGAAAAAGTTTTAATTAAACTGGAATTTTGTTACCATAACGGTAACAAATTGACCTGACCAAACATTTCGAGACATATCGTAGTTCGGTCTATAATAATACTGAAAACTTATTTTGGAAAATGGAGATATTAATAAAATAAATCAACTCAAATGCAACTAATGTCGGAAAAATATGTTTCGTATTTAGTCATTTGTTACCTGACAATTATTTTACTAGCTACTTAATTATCTTATTATCAGATCGGCGCATGTTATAGAAAGTTCTCGTGACACAGAGTTTGTAACGAAAGTCTTCCGTTACGGAGGACTTTGGCTTGACCGATTCTCATGAAATGTTGTGTAATAGGTAAGTGACGTACTTAATGTAAACGTTTTTTCATAGATATTATCCCTTCCCGTAGCAAGTGGACAGATTCGCAGCTGGACAGATTCTCAATTGGACAGATTACGCGTACGATGTTTCGGGCATATCTAGCACTATTTTTAATATTAATTTGTAGTAAGAGCAATATTGTGCTATCATCTGTACTTACCAATGATAAAAAATACACTAGCGCTGCAGGGAGCATTGAATTTCAAATATTAATCAACTAAATCACCCTGAAATCTTCTATCGTATCTTTTGTAATAAATCTCTTTAAACAAACTTAAGGCGATTAGTGTCCTCAATCCGCGCTAAATGGGCATTTTGTAAAGCCTACTCCTCTTTTACTGCTGGACAGAAATAGTTGAAAAAAATGTATGTTATACAACAGTTCAAGGACTACATTTGTGACGTTTGAATTTTCGCTACGTGTCTTTGTTTTGGATTAAAAAAATAAATACGGGACATCGATTTTTTACTTAAATTCCCTACTCCTCCAAAACGGCTATGTTAATTTAAAAGATTTTTGCACGAATAGATTGGGAATTCTTTAATCTTTAAATGACACGTTGCGTTTTTCAATCGAACATTACTTTCATTCATAAATTTTACTTTTGATAAATTCCGAACGTTTTGCTGTTGAGGGGGCCTTCGCGGGGTGCGGGCGGCAGTCGGCCGCTGGCCTTCAGACGGGGAGGTTGTGTCACTCGCTACAAACTGACATTAGCGATCAAAATGAATTTTTTCTTTGGCTAAGTTGCACTACCTGACGTGACCTAACTTTGACCGTAGCTTTGGCGATAACCGNAGCTAAATAAAAGCTTGTAATAAAGTCGGGTTTGTTCAAATTTCGAGAACGACTGAACCGACAAAAGCATTAGAAAATTTACAAAAAATAAAATAAAATTTTATCCCGCACAAAATGTTCATGGATTTTGTTATTTTTATTAAATACCTTTACGCCTGAGTTAAATGACACCGACATCAAGGTTCATCAATTTAAGTTTAAAATAATAGGCAGTAATGTATGAAGAAAGAGCTTCTATTCTGTATCTACCTATGCCCGTGTATTTTTGATCGGTGTCAAATCGGAGTTTTTGGTGCGGGGTACGCGGGTGTTGCTCGCGGCGTGAAGGTCAAACGCCCAAGGTCATTGAGGACTCTAATCGCCTTAAATAATGAGTCTCTAATTATTGACAGAGTAAATAATGAAAATGTATTATTTAGTACAAAACAAATTTGTTTTTTGTACTAAAAGAAGGATACTTTCGTTTATAATTACACTAATTAGGTTACGTGTCTTTGTAAACAATTTTGGTGACTCTATAGAAATCTACATCCAACATTAAATTACAATACAACTATTACATAATATTTCTTGCCCAATTGTGTATGTATTACATAACTGATCTGCCGTATACATAAAATTACGTATACATTTTGATATTGTAAGTACTGAATATTATTATACACACAAAATTTCATAAGAATCGGTGAAGCCGTTTCGGAGGAATTTCGTCCCAAACACTGTGACACGAGAATTTTATAATGTATAATTAGAGAGATACACATACACACACACACACACACACACACACACACACACACAAACACGGTCCAATTATGCATGCATAAATATTATAATTTTCATAATTTTTCTTTTTCGTTGTGGACTGACAGTTGAGGTCGCATATGATATAAACAATTTTGTTAACTTGTGACAAAAGATTGTCTACATGACAGGCTTAGCCTAGCGTAGAAATCTCAGTTACTTTATGAACTGAAGCGTATGTCGGTACAACCTTAGCATTAAACGGGTCTTTAAGGAAATGTATGTACAACAATGCAATGTAAGCAATGTAAAAAATGTTAAAGTTGTTAAATAAACTTTTATTTATTATTTATTTATTATTAGATAATACAAAAGAACTAAGGCTGATGGGATACAGAGGTGCAACGGGGGAGTCTTGACAAATTACCCTTCCTTATCGACCTGGCCCGTGCTTTTTGAAGACCGTAATTGATGGCTTTCAAAAAGAACACTGCCGAAAATGGAGGCTTTCTATCACAGTTGTGTGCACGGACCGTAATAGCATTAATTAACGTACCATTGAAATAGGAGCTTTAAGAAAGAAGAGGTAATGTACATTATGCATTAACTTTTGCCCACGGCTTTGAGCTGGAATAAATGTTCTGAAGAAATATAATCTCACACCCTGTGAATTATCGTTATGAAATGACACCGATCTATCTATGAAATGATACCTAGTTAAACTAGGTATAAATAGCGTGATTTCTTTCGAAGCTCAATACACTTTTTGAGACGTTTTCAAAATGTTCACTTTTTTCTTCTTCGTTCGTTCGTTTCAGCCGAAAGACGTCCACCGCTGGACAAAGGCTTCCCCCAAGGATTTCATTTCACTTTTTTCTTCTATTAACAGGCCTGTTCATCTCCGCGAGTTTACATCGAAAACAAAACACGCACGATGGCCCACCTACAGGGTACTATTCGACAAGGCCTCACATACGAGCGAACATTGACTCACGCACGCGTATTCTTGTGTATGATGGAAGAAAATAAAGAAAATGGTGTACTAAATACTGTGCAGTATTTAACTGCTTAAATAATAATAAAAACACAGAATGTACTTTTTTAAGTTGCCTCGAGACACTGAGAGGTAAATAAGTAGTTAATATTCATGATAATTCATGCTAAATCATGTATTAGGTACTTCCGCCATTTTCCGCAGTTTGGCACCTCACGTCAAATCATTTTACCGAAGTCAGCCCTATAGCTTCGGCGCAGTGCCGACCACTGACGTTTGTCAACAAAATTGTGCTCGACTCTTGAGACAAGCTAAAAATTACACCATATTGTTAATTACATTGAGCATACATTTTTTTAAATACCTTCGCGAAGTAAAACTTCTGTCTGTACGTAGTACTTATTATTATTCTGTGCTATTACCTAGTAATTTATGCGAACTTACAATAATATGCTGATTTTATTTATTACGCTAAGTTTAACATATCTAGCTATTGTGCAGCTATTACAGAAAAAATCTATTCATTCATACATCTAGGTTCTAAACTAGTGCTTACTGCATCTAACTAATTACCGCACTAGCTCCTAACTTGTAACTGCTTGTTACCGAGACGCACCGCTCAAACAGTTAGTTAAAATTTTGATTATATTCGCTCCATTAATCCTTCCTCCGCACTGCGGGCGCAAATATTATTCCCAATGTTCGACGCAAATTAATAGCACCTTGTTATCTGCTTGTGCCGAACATGGCATTAATGAATTTACGGACATGCTTAACCAACTCCACCATGTGGAAAAGCTTCCTCCAATACCGTGTAATTAGCGATTTGTATCCTTTAATCTGCTGCTAGTTCGCCCGCCATACAACTCCATTACACGTTATTGCCCAAACGTGTACGTTAGATACATTCTAATTAAAACCCCTGACCGCAAAATAAAAATGAATACCCACTTAAACAAAACACACATGCCCACAATGTGTAAATTCGCCACCTCACATTCTCTTTAATTAAAACCTCGACGCGAGTGACCTTATACAACTTGTAAAAAGTTGCTGGCTGCTTAGGTTTATGCGCTGAAAAAAAATTAACAGAATAATAACGTTTGTTTGAAACTCGTAGACGTTGCAAACTAACGGCGGGCGTTACGATTCCATTTTCAAAACAAATGACGCACGCACTCTACCAGTGCCTAGATAAAACCGGCCAGCTTCAGCTGAACTGTTGATTTTTGGCAGCGGGCTACTCAGGGTCGCACTCGCGGCGGTCGCGAGGGGGATGGGAAGTTCTTTTAAGGATGGCAGTGCGTTACTTAGGCACGTGCCTCGGGTGAGTTAACCTGCGCACAAGTTCGTGAATCAATCAACGTGGAAAGTCTGCCCGGCAATCGTTCGTAGATGGTGTCTACGCATGCGCCTCCTTTAGGGCTGACCTCCTTGTTGCTTGCCGAAAACCCAAGAATGTTATTTTACCAAGGCCCTGCCGCTGGGCCCTTTTAAAAACAAGCCACTGCGTGCGATCGTGCGTGGAGAATGGGCGGAATTTTTACGATACAACATTTTACCTTCTTGGGATGAAGATAGCGAAATACACGTATTTACGTAGATACACTGAAACGTTATATTTTTACATGCACGAATATTAAATTCTGACCGATTCCTGCACGATCGTAAAAAAGGAATTAACATTTTAAGTTATAGAAGATTTTACTTCGAAACGAACGAAAGTGGATGCTGCGGGAAGTCAAACGGTTCGCAATATAGCAGTGAGACGGTTTTGCCAATTTTGTATCGATAGTTTACCCCATCCGAGCGAGGTATCGATGGAGCGCGACACTAGGCTGGTGTCTCCGTGAATCCCGCCAACGCGACGGCCGGCAGTATCCGCGCGCAACCGGTGTGTGTTAGACGCTAGCCACATGCAGCCTACGCGGGCCGAAAACAACGCGGGCGATCAAGGTACGTACAAAACTTATTCGAATTTTAAAAATTGAAAAAATATTTATTTCTTCATTCGAAAAATAAACGAAATTAATGGCCAGTAAATAAATTTGCCCGGCAGTAAAAACCATTTTGGCGGTGTTTTACGCGCGCGTTTCATGATGTTTACGTTTCGGTTTTTACTGCCTTTGCTAAAATTGCATTTAAAGAAACTTTGAAATTCGAGTGCTTTTATTATTTGCGAAGCTCCATTGTCAGCGAAAGATAATAAAAAATACTTCACTAAAAAAATTTAAGGTCTTTAATTTTGCAAATAATTTTATAATAAGTTTGGGTTCTTGGAAGAAGCTCAGAAATTGTTTTACATTACAAAATTGTTTTCTAGTCTTCCTAACCAAATTAATTAAAGTTACGTTACTTAATTTAAAAACTTTCTTAGGCTTACAAGGCTGCCTCAATTAATATTTACTTGCAAATGTATTTATGGTCGAGATAATTAAATCAACAATCAAATATTTCAATCAAAATTTGTGTTATTTATATTAAAAAAATAACTTAATGCCTTCTTCAGCAGTGGACGTCCTGTGGCTGGAATGATAATGATGAAAATTAAATAATTTTAACATATTCTATGTAAATTAAGTAATTACTTTCAATCTTTCAATTATTATTTTACTCATGTGGTAGACGAAATTATAATTCAATTGGTCAAAGAAAAGAAATATTAAGTCAATGGTTTCGTAGGTATTAGTAATTATAAGGGATACCAACCTTTAAAACTAAAACGCTTACTTATTTTGGTATGAATATACTTCGTAATTCGTTCAGTAATAATAAAAAATACTGTGTTTTCTAGTTACCGCCTACAAAGTTCTCATAATTTTCATTTCGTGTGAGTTTTAACAACTGAAGCGACTTTTTTTTTTTTTTTTTTTT